CTGAGGGTTACGCGTATAGCGGACTAGGTCAACATGAGTTTGCTTGTTAACAGATTTGTCAGATTTGTGCAAATAACATTGTAGGGAAAATCAAGTTTTGAAATGACATAAAAAAACGCCGAAACAAGTAAGCTTAATATTAGGTCGCAGACTGTGGAAATGTAGGCCATTTTTCCAGATCAGGTAATTTTCACTAGATATTTTCACTTTTATGAAACAACAATGTAAAACTTAACCTCCTTGTCCTCGGTGGTCTACATTTCTAGAATTTTCGCCGAAAATTTTTAATAACTAAAAAAAATTCCACTGCCAGCAGTAAAAATCAGCTCCAAGCAGTTTTGGCTATTCAGCGTACAAAGAAGTTAGTTGCGAGACCTTCAAAGCCCTCTTTTTAAAAGTGACTATCTTCTGGCCGGTAGTCTACATATCTCGACAGTAAATTTTACCCACACAAAAATGTATACACTCTCGAAACTCGGCGCCTCAGCATTTTTATTTCTTCTCTCTGATGTCAGATTTTTTTAACGTACTTTAAAATTTCAGGGATAAGATTATTTAAAAAATTGTTTAAAACTTCAGTGTATAATAATAATAGGGGTGTCATATAATAGAGAAAACTCTGTAAAATTTAAAGAAAATTAAATGTGGACGAGAGCGTATTGAAATTGCCATTTTAACCTTATTGTTTTAAGATACAATATTATTTAAAAGGACATTTTCGATACCTATTCGTCCTTATGCACTAAGAATTTTACGGTTTTTAATTCTAAAAAAAAAAATCTCTTTCTCTGGATGTCCAGAATTTCTTTAATAATTGTTTATATCGTTTAAAATTCAAAATATTTTAAAAGTATATGCGACATCGCAGCGAAAAACTTAAAAGGAGTATTATATTTGGCCGCTAATTTCGTGAGAATATTGAGACGTGTATTTTGAATTGTTTTTATATACAAGGGTATATTAATTTTGTTCTCATAACGGTTGTTTGTAACAGCCAAAACGAATCGAGATAGATATAGACAAATGTATACATAAATGATCAGGTTGAAAAAAGAAATCGATTAAGCCATGTCTGTCTGTCCGTCCGTCTGTCCGTCTGTCCGTCCGTCCGTGTACACGATAACTCGAGCAAAAATTGAGATATCTCAACGAAATTTGGTATGTAGGTTTCCCTTAATCCAAGGTAGGTTGGCATTGAAAACGGGCGAAATCGGACTGTAACCACGCCCACTTCCCATATAACGGTAATTTCCAGAAATACGAAAACTGCGATATTTTAGTAACTACTGAAGATAATTCACTCAAAATTGATATTTACAGTAATTTTTAAACGAAAAATAAGAATATTATAAATTTTTGGAAAATGGGCGTAGCCACGCCCACTTATGGTTACATGTGTATATCTTGGTAAACGCTGCACCAATTTCTTCCAAACTTGGCACAGTTGTTGGCTTTGATACAGCATACTAAATGGCCGAAAAATTAAAAAATCGGACAATAACCACGCCTACATCCCATATAACGGTAATTTTCGGAAATACGAAAACTGCGATATTTTAGTAACTACTGAAGATTATTCACTCAAAATTAATATTTACAACAATTTTTAGACGACAACTAAGAGTGTTATAAATTTTCGGAAAATGGGCGGAGCCACGCCCACTTATGGTTACATGTGTATATCTCGGTAACCGCAGCACTAATTTCTTCCAAACTTGGCACAGTTGTTGGCCTTGGTACAGCATAAAAAATCGCCGAAAATTTTTAAAATCGGACGATAACCACGCCCAAATCCCATATAACGGTAATTTAGAGAAATACAAAATCTTCGATAAATCACTAAATATTGAAGCTAATTTATTCAAAATTGATGCTTGCAACAATTCTTTACCAAGAAATACGCTAATGGTAAAATTTTGGAAAAAGGTCACATATATGTATATCGGTAACCGTTCTACCAATTTGTACCAAACTCGGTGTGGTTATTGTGCTTGCCACATATAAGCAAAAGGTTGAAAATTATTGAACTCGGACTAAAATTACGGCCGCTTTTCATATAACGGTAAATTTCAGAAATGCTTAAAACTTCAATATTTCGAAATTTAAGGACACTAATTTACTCAAAATTGATACACCCCGGCTTACCATCTAGCGGTAGGTTTCGGAAAGGTGAAAAAACATATATTTAATACTTGCGCCGGGTATTTAATGTTCTGCTCCGCCCGAACTTAGACTTTTTTACTTGTTTTTTTTTGCTTTCGCCGCTCGTTGTAATACTTATGTATGGAGGGTCACATCATCACTTGTTTACTCGACACAAAGTTTTCTGATTTCTGCGCGTTGAAACATGTTTTTTTTAATTATGTATTTGCGTATGTGACTTAGGTATTTAGGTGTTATGCAGACGAATTTTGTGTTTGGCAGGCAAGATGCGAGTTTGGTACGTCATATTCTCACTTAAACTTTCGGTAAATGCTGCTCGTTGAATAAAAGTTAATATTTTTTTTACTTTCATTTCATGTTTAACAATTATTTTTTTCAATAAATGTGTAAAAATGTGCACGCAATTATAACAGTTTGGGTAACCGGTTTTTTGTTTCGACCATCTCCGCGAGTTTTCAATCCCGATCGCATGTTGGTTAACAAAGAAAAAATTAAAAAATAACAAATCTTTTGTATGAAAACCTATTATTTAAAAAAAAATAATCAAGCTACTAACAAGGAAAATCGGTATACAAATAAACAAGTTTTGAACGGGAAATGGAATGTGCAAGAAATTTTGTATGAAATAGCAATAGGTAATAATGTTACTCATAAGCCATGCCGTACATGAGCGTACTCAGATCAGTATCTACGACCCAAAATTAAGTTTACGTGTCTCGGCGTTTTTTTTTGTCATTTTAGCGTCCCTAAATTGTTATCTTACGAAAGACTTTAAATTGTTTTGGCTAGAATTGCTCATTAGTTACGTTTTACTTCGCAAACCCCTTGCAAACTGACTGCCACTTAGGATGTTGATGTTCTCATTGCCACTTTTTCGCTGATGTTAGATATCCGCAGACTTACTTATGGCGTGAAGCCCCGCTTAAAATATACATGGAAGTTTAACAATGGGAACAAATCTGGGCCCAAACATGCCGACTTTAACGAATTCGGAGCTTTTTTGCACCATCTGTGGACCAAATAAGAGGGTCAAACACCTTGATTAACTCATCTGCAAGCTCGTTTGCTGGAACCAGCCGGCTCTCAACCCTGAAAAGAAGAAAAAAGCATTTGTTAGTTATGCAAATGCTATTATAATTTTTTTTTAAGGCAGAAACTCAAGTAGTATCCAAATGAAACACAAGGGTTAAATAAGGAAAATGAGTATTAAGTAATAAGTATGAAATTTGATTTTCAATTAAAATTTTTTGTAATTGAAAATATTTATTATAAAGAGCATATTTATGCATACTTACAAATACATACTTACTTAAAATAATTCTTGTTAAATCAAATTACAAATGGCATATTAACAGGTTGCATATTTTTGTTTGCACTGAAAGTTAATTTATATTTTCCACAAGTTGTGTCACAACTTTTGATAACCCATCTGCCTCTATCTAACAGGTCATCAATTATGATTCGACACGTGGTGGCGTTTCGGTAATTACTGAAAAGGGTGACATCACAACGTCGTTCCTGCTTATACAAAATGCCGACTTGGCCGATTCGGGGAAATATTCCTGTGCACCGTCAAATGCTGATGTCGCCGCCGTACGAGTGCATGTGCTCAATGGTAAGTACTAAAAAAGTGCACAAACTACAAACATCAAAATATGTATATAGACCTTATAAATGTATGGATGTATGGATGTATGGGTATATCATGAAACGTATTGCAATATATCACTAAACGTAAATGTAGATATATTTGCACAAAATCGTACATCAGCGTAGAGCAGTTGAACGAAAAGCAAATGCAAGTGGGCTTGGAATATGTACATATATCGTAAACCATTAGGACCACCTATATTTATATATGTAAGTGTATACATGCAGTATTTTCATACGCACATTTGTACATACATACATATGTACATAGTTGCATTGAGGCATGCGAATTCAAAGCCCATGAAAGCGCTTCCATTAAGCGCGACAGTATGAGTTGGCATTGACGATTCAAACACGTCGGCATGGTTACGTTCTTTAATACTTTTAAATTTCTGAGTACAGAGAATACATATTGGTTGGTTGAAATGATGAATGGAAAATCATAAGAATGAACATGACCAATCAAAAATCATATTGTAAATGTAAACTAAGTAATTTAAGAAAAAAAAGAAACAACTTACGCGTATATATGGTATAAATTATAAACCTGGGTTAAACAAGTTGAATAACTAATGTCACGAACAAGGATCAAATCGTCGTTTAAAGTAAACAAAAGTAATTGCGCCTGCGCCACACTGGAAAAACTTACGTATGTAACGTCTAGTTTATCTCATAACCAATATACGCACGTATTGTTTTTTCCTTTATCTTTATTTTTATCTTTATCTCTATCGATAACAAAATCGATAGTAACATATCAAAATCGATAAAAATATCGATAAAAAATTTGATAGAAAATCGATAAAAACATCGAAGAAATCGATAAAAATCGATAACAGAACCGATAACAAATTCGATAAAAATATCGATAACAAAATCGATAAATATCGATAACGAAATTGATAACTAAATCGATAAAAATATCGATAACAAAATCGACAAATATCGGTAACAAATTCGATAAAAATATCGATAACGAAATCGATAAATATCGATAACAAAATCGATAAATATCGACAACACGCACGCACTCACACAACTTAATATATAACACCATTTTGTTAAAAGTACTTCAATTATGAATCGCAAATTATTTGACAAAACTTTCAACACAACTTACGTTAAACTAAAGGTAATAAAAATGCATTTCAAGCTTTAATTTGTTATTTTTTGGTTGATTCAAGATTTTTAAAAATGCCTTATCCACATGTTTGTTAGTTTTATGAAAAAAATTATTTATGCACTAAGGTTCAGTTTCTCATGGAACTTCGCAGTATTAAAAAATTATGAAATAAACAATTAATTATTATTATTATTGGAAGTCTGCAGAAGACAAGCATAGTTTTAGGACCGAAAAATATTGATTTTCACGAATTTTATACCTTCGTAAGAATTTTTTGTTCATATAGTATACATGTGAAAAATTGAGCGCTTTGAGCGACCTCTACATATTTTCTGATTTCGAAATAAAGAAAACAAGGATATTTTTTTTTATATATGTAAAAATCCTAGAAGGTTCGAGCATTAAAATGCGGACTTTACTTTTTCACGTGCATTTTTTTAACCACCCTAATCTTTGAATTAGGCAGCTCTCATTTAGATTGTTTTTAAATTGAGTAAAGTAACATAAATTCAACCGCATGACTTTCTGATAGGTTTTGTTGCTGGAAACTTGTCTCTCTTAGATCAATCGCTTTACTCAGTGACAAAAATTCGAAATTGCCCAGCTTGCGAAAACTCAAAGTCCCCATCAAATTAAAATCCATCAACTCGTTCTCCAGATGAGTGTAGAGATCAATTTGCTAATTAGAAAGTACATGCCAGGAGCTTTAGACATATGTACATGTGTGTACTATGTACGTACATATGTATGTACGTGGGAATGCCATCAATAAAATTACGCGTAGCTATCAATCGACCAACCTTTTTAAGCGGGAAACGAACAGAAGTTAGTCAGCAGAAATTTAGTGCCCGGCCAACCACTTACTGCTCATTTCAACTATCTACATGCAAACATAAATACATACCTCTGTACCTATTCAACTCGAATAAACTACACAGGTATTCGTACTTACTACTTACGTACATACATATAAACCTCGAATTATGGCCACCACATTGCCGGATAATTGGGGCAGCAAAGCAGAAAGTTGGCCACGGCGAGTGCGTCAGTTGCATTATCTGCGGATGTGCCACTCCACAAGAACAACACAAGACACACGCCAACAATGGTCACATGTTATTGCATGTAGCTACACACATTTACATACTACATACATACATAAGTATGCAATGCATGGCATGCAAGTTGTACCATGGTGTAGCAAATTCGGTATTACAGGTACACGGGCAAGCCTCTAATACCATGCTGGTGTACCTGTAAGTGGGTTGACATAATCGTGTGTATGCACACGCATGTGTGCATGTGTATGTTTGTGTTCTTGGCACATTTCAGGCGCGCATACACTTAACCGACATTTTGTAAATGAGGAAGATGACAACACTTCGCTGCGACGACCACAATGACAACAGACACTTACACACAGTGCATGCGTATGCACTATGTGTACATATGTATATTAGGGTGCCCATCGAAAATGCCTTTTTTTGGAAACATCAAGACCCTACTCCCTAATTTTATTCGTTTTTATGAAAAATATTATTGCCTATTTCCATAGATTTTTTAAAGGTCATTTAGAGGTCGCGAGCTGTCGTTTTATGTCAGAAAATACGATTTTGTAGAAAAAAAAAAATTTTCAATGGATACCCTAATATATATATATATCAACTAAAATGTATGTATGTTTACGCTTATGCACTTGAAATATGCTCGTGTAGCATAACATCCGCATAGCCGCAGTAGCAATTTAAATTTTGCAAGTGCAATGTTGGCAAACAACACCAACGTACATACAAACGTACATCGGCACTATATGCATATATATAGTATATATGTATGTATGTATGCACTTACCCACAATACTCCAACAGCTCGATTATGCAGAGCGGGCACCGCCGCATCAACAATTTTGTGCGTGACTGCTTGAGTGGTGTCCATACGTGGATATATCCATCCTTCCCCTCGCAGAATAATGCATTTGGTTGGGAGTTGCGTGCTGGCAATGCGCTTGTTGGCTGTGGTTAATGTGCACTTCCCGTATTTAGGGTTAGCAGCTCGGTAGTTATTAACGATAGTAAATATGTATGTTTTCATAAGTGTGCGGTGATCGAAATGTTCGGTTTAAAAGCAAGTTTTCAAGTATACTTTTGTGCAGTTTCTTCTACGGATTTTTAGTTTTTTCTGGTAGAATTTTTTTTTTATGAAATATAGGTTGCACAAAACATCGAATGTTGTTCTTCTGGTATCTGGTAATTTTTTAGTTAGTTTACAACAATAAAATATAATACAAAGATTTTTTAACCAGATAACCTGATAATCAGACTAGTGTGAACGCCCTCAACGTACTCGCGAAACCTGAGGCCAAATCTAGCAAACCTGTGTTTTGAATTTTAAAATATGGAATAACAATATGTGTACCAGATGAAAGAGAAAATTCTGCGAAATTTAGCAAAATTAAATGTTTGTGTGAACAAAGACGAACAGGTATTGAAAATATCCTTTTAAAGCTTCATGTTTGAATATGCTTGGAAAGTTCCCCAATAATTACTTTTGAAAAAAATAATATATATATGCATACAGTGGTGGAAATGATTATAGCCGCACCACATTTTGACAAGTTTGAATATGTTATTTTTGTTGTTATTTAATTTTGGTTATTTTTCTATAAAAATATAGTTAATTCTTTAACAAACTCCGTGTAAATCCAAGCTTCAAACTTTGTGCAATATTTAAAAAAAAATCAACAAACTTTCCTAAAACTTTCTAACTTTTTTAATTAGATTTCTTTTTTTTTTAAAACTTTTTTAAAAAGATTTCAAGATTTCAGTGGGCTACAGAACTGTATAATCAGAATCTAATTAAAAAAGTTAGAAATTTTTAAGAAAGTTTGTTGGTTTTTTTTTTAATTTAACAAAGTTTAAACTGGGATTTACACTGATTTTATTAAAGAATTAACAATATTATTATAAAAAAAAAAGATCCAAAATAAAATAACAACGAAAATAATATGTTAAAACTTGTCAAAATATGGTGTGGCTATAATTATTTCGATCACTGTATGTATATACTAAAAACCATTACGCACGATGCCAAATTCTGGAATTGGCCTTTTAATTTTATTAGTTTAGCATAAAAAAATAATCAAAAGGGAATTTCTAATACCTACATATTTGTCCTTGAAAACCAAAAAAAAAATTTGCGGAAATCTACAAAATTTTTTATTTAATTTAAGAGAAGTTTTTTTACGAAACTTAACTCTATAATTATACAATTCAAATTGTAAAATATGTGCTTTCCGTGTACGCATGGCATTTTCGGTTTTGGTATAACATAGAACATCCAAAGGTTAATCAAGGCAACCCATTAACTCAAAACTGATAAATTTGCACATTCATGATTCTGGCTTCAGATTCGTAATAGGCGACCCCGTATGCTTTTGCATACAATGTTAAAACATGTTAAAAACATTAGGGCTATTCAGGATCTTGTGCATATGATCTTGCATTTGTATATTCGGTGCATTTGTAAATTCACAGCAATCAGATGCACACGGTTGCCATGGCAGCAAGCATATAATTTGCAAATGCAATCCCAATTGCAAATCCAAGACCATTTTCACAACATCTTGAACAGCCCAATTAATTAATTTATTTTTGTGTTCGCCAGATTAGATCCGCCATTTTGAATTTTTAAAATATCGAAATATAGTGGGGTCAAATTGTATAAAAATGTCTTCGAAAAAAAATTTTTTCCCCACCTAGATTTGGACTTCAGACCACTGTGCGACAGTAAGAATTTAATAATTCTGTATTTATATATAAGAAAATATTGATTTTATTTTCAAAAATTTTGAAAG